TCCCGCCGCTCGGGCTCCCCGCCACGCCCTTCCTGGGGCCCCCGCTCCGGAGGACAGGTGGGCCGGAGGAGGCAGTCTGCGGAAAGCCGGAGCTGTCCCCGACCTCGGTCTCCCCCGCCCCATCACGCCCCTCCAGGTCGCTGTAAGCAACCTGATCGGGTTTGCTCCCCGGGTTCGGGCGCGGACGCTCGTGCTGGGCTCCGGCTTCAGACCCGCTGGGGGCCGCCCCCTCCTGGCGACTCCTCCCTGGAGTTGCAGGGCCGGAGGGTCTTGCCGCGCCTCGCTCCGGGCGGGGGCTCGGTTCCCCGCGATCTTGGCACGCAGGGTGAAATCGACAGGTGTCGTCGACAGGCTTTAAGCCTGAACATGGCACCCTCCCTGGGTCTTCTAGTTTCAGACAAGGGCTGGGAGGTGACAGTCCACGCACTGCTCCAGACTGGATGCTGAAACAGAAACCCTGGAAAGCTCTTAAAAGAAATCTGAATAGAAATACCCGAGGTAGACCGAACCGTAACCTTTTTCTGCATAAATTCTTTGTGAATATTAAACATAGTTTTCTCCCTATCGGGAATGGATCAGGAACTCTGGTTCATTTAAATTACAATCACTTTGGCTTTTTAAAATTTTTTTAAAATTTTTTGGCCATGGGTCAGTTTGTAAAGGTCACTGACTTTCCCTGACAAAGTATTCCTGAATGATATCAACAGCTATCAGATCTTTCACAAAATCTTTTCTCAAACCCTAAACCACTTTGCATGGATCATTTATAAATGAAAACAAAATTTTTTTTGCAATAGAGTCCAAGAATTGTTTGCTGTCCATTACCTTGGATCCCAAGTGCTGTGAAGGAGATAGCTACCCAAAGGATATAATTGGTTCCCTCAATTCTCCAGGGCAATTTGGAAAGTGTAATTTAATCGTTAAAGTCCATGTGCCTCCACACAACTTAACACGATCTCCTTACTGTAGTTATCATGATGGTAAGGGTTTGAAATGCTTGATTGTTCAGGAACAATCTGAACTTTGGAGAGTTTCACAGTCATAAGTGATAGCCCTCACTAAACACTTGTTATAGCTGAGTTATGTAGACCAGAGAATAGAAAAGGTCAGATTTTGGAGTCAGACGATAAAAGACCAAATTCCCTTCTGTGCCACATACTGGCCTCTGAGGAGTTACTTACCTGTTCTACCACCCATTTCCTTTTATGAATAACCTGCCTAATAAAAGAAATGGTGAGAATTAATATGATGCCTGTAAAGCACCCATTACTGTGTCAGACATAGGTGGTGTGCTTGTAAATGCTGATTCCTTTTTTTATTGGAAGATCTAAATTAATGAAAGGATCAACAGTGTTTGTATTGCAAGATTCTGTATTGGTGAGATGTCAGTTTTCACCAAGTCATTTATAGCTGCCACCCCATTTCAATGACAATTCCAGCAAACTGTTTTGTGGAAATTGGCAAGCTGGCCGGCCTCCGTGGCTCAGTCTATCAGCCCAACACTTTGGAAGCCCAAGGACAGTGGATTGCCTGAGCCCGCAGGTTTGAGACCAGCCTGGGCAACCTGGAGAGACCTCGTCTCTACAATGGAAAAAAAAAAATTAGCTGGGTGTAGCAGCACGCGTTTGTACTTCCTAGCATTGACTAGACCTTTTCTATGTCTAGATATGTTCATGCACAGATACCACTGTGTTACAGTTGCCTACAGTATTCAATAGAGTA